TCCATTTCCTTCCCTCCCTAGCCACTCTTTAGCTGACTGGATAAATTGATTTCTCTTTGTTAAACTCCTCTCTCTTTTCCTTCTGAATCTCACTCTCAAATGGCTGTTGTTCCAATCTGCTTTTTATTGTTGCTCATGTCTCCCCCACTAGACTATGCTCCTTACTGTAAAACTCAGACTTCCCCTGTGCTAGCCAGTATTGACACATGAGGGATTGACTTAATGAATACTAATGAGCAGAACATCAATCTTTTAGGTAGGGCTAAAAATCAGAGGATTCTATTAGGAACCCTGTATTTAAGAACTTGGAGCAAAGTGAAGGTTTTAGCCTGAGTCCTCTGACTTGCCCGCAACAATAGTGATGTCCGTTGTGCCGTGTTTGAGCTGGGAATGTTAGCTTGCTGTGTGGTACTTAGAAAAAGTGTCTTTAGGGAACAAAAGGAAAAAGAAATTAGCTAATATATCATTATTATTAGCCTATGACTTGTTTGATCGGGAAACCACAATTAAAAAGCATTCACACCTGTTTCAGAATTACCTGCCTCTTTGTGTAAGAAAAAAGAATCATAAAACTGGCAAAACAACAACAAAATAATATCACAAATCATATTAACAGGAAAAAGGGGGAAGGAGATGTGCTTTGAACCTCCAGCTCCTTCACAGCTCATCATTTCTTGATGCCCTTTGCCAAGCTGGATGCTCAAGGAAATCTAATGATATACAAAGCCTCACTGCCGGATACTTCATTACTATCTCAATCCATTAGAAGCCTTAATGGCCTATGCCACTGGAATAAGTATGGAAATCCAGTCCCCCAAGAAAGTACAGTGCTCTATAAATCATACCCGCCTGAGGATTCTCTCAACCCTTGACACTGAAGAGTAGGTATATATAAAAAAAATTGCCCTTCCTTAATTCCCTTGTACTAGAAGCTGTCAGCATGAGTGACAACTTTTAAGTTTTTAACTCTCTAACCCTATGGTTCTCTAAGTGTAAGCTGGGGATCAGTAGCATCAGTATCACTGGGAACTTGTTAGAAATGCAAATTCGGTGGCCCCACCCAGATGTGCTGGAACCTTGGGGTGGACCAGAGCCATTTCTATTCTTGACATCAGCCTTGCCAGAACTGTCCTGCCTGAGATACCCACTAAGAGCTTTTGTCTGGGTGATCAGCTCCCTGGGGTCTAGTGCTCTTTAACCTTTTTTCATTCCCCTCCCTGTAGAACACACACTTTTCAATATTATATTTTAATATTATTTTATTTTGCAATTTTTATTTTTTAATGTATTGTATATTTTTATACAGAAACTCCATTTGTCTTGAGGAGTTTGGGGATTGATTCAAGGTTTTTTCTACTTCTCTCTCCAACCTTAACTCTCAGATGAGATGGGAGCTCTGCCCTGGCATATTATTTACTCTTGTTTTCTAGTAATTCTCATAGCTTTATTCTGAAGGCAAAGTCAAGGCCAGCGTGATGGTTCATGCCCATAATCCCAACACTTTGGAAGGCCAAAGCAGGCAAATTGCTTGAGCTCAGGAGTCTGAAACCAGCCTGGGCAACACAGCAAAACCCTGCCTCTAATATAAAATTTACGAAAAATTATCAGTGTCTCAGTAGGCTAGGGATGGAGAAAACATTAACTAGCCCACCTATCCTACAGCAGTGTTTATCAAATCTCAGTATGCATTAAGATCTCTTTTTTAGGGGGGATTGAGGGAGATGGAGTCACCCAGGCTGGAGTGCAATGGTACAATCTCCGCTTACTGCAACCTCCGCCTCCCAGGTTCAAGTGATTTCTCCTGCCTCAGCCAACCAAGTAGCTGGGATTACAGGTGCCCACCACAATGCCTGGCTAATTTTTGTATTTTCGTAGCGACAGGATTTCACAATGTTGGCCAGGCTGGTCTGGAACTCCTGACCTCAGGTGATCCATCTGCCTCAGCCTCGCAAACTACTTGGACTACAGGCATGAGCCACCACACCAGGCCTAGAGATCTTTAAAAACATCATGTTAGAAACATTCTGAGTAGCACTGTTTTAAAATAATTACCTCATGTTGACCCAGGGTTTCCGCTACTTTTAATTATGATTTTTGTGTGTGTGTGAATTCTTGATTTGGGGTGGCTCCGAGGCTTTAGGGCTGCGAATTATACTTACTCCTTTGGTATCCTTTGCCTAAAGGATATTTTTTGCCAAACGCTTACTTTGGATGAGTCCTTATCTACTTTGACTTCTCTGTTGATTTAGTTCCACCTGTTTCCCATGGTCTAGGAATCCCATAAATTTTCTGGTCCTCTGACGGCACTGTCTTTTGTCAGTGCTGTTATGGCTTCATCCTTTTTCTGTATAGTTATGTAGGGGTTGGGCCAGGATAGATGGTTGCAGAGATTGAGTGTACCATTTTGATCCAGTTCATCTTTGCTTTTCTTAAAGCTTTCTTCCCTCTGTTGTTACCAGGCATGATTCATTGTACCATGGCTATTCATGTTATTCTAGTGCCATGGAGCATTTCATTCCTACTTCTTTCATATCACGTATTTGTTGTAACATTCTTAAGTGCACGTAGATATCTTTAACCTACTAGATTCCATTTTGTAGCCCGAGTGTCTGTGGTCATCAAATTCCAGAGATTTTTCTCAGCCAGGTGGGAAAAAACCAGTTTAGCAACAAGCAGATGAAAATGGGGATCTAAAATACCATGTTAACTATCTTACAGGTTACATTCACAACAGCGTCTCTCATAGGTTTTGTGGGGTTCTCTGTCTCTACGAGAACCTGTGTGATGTTTAAGTTCTCAACTCTGAATAAACATCTTGCAAAGCATTGAGTTATAATAGTTTACTGTTAGGTTGATTTTCTAAAGATACTGTGGTTCTGTCCTTAGAAATCACCACTTCTGGTCCTCCTGGAAGAGGGCAAGTCCCTTCTTAGCTTCCAAGGATTGAATCCTCTCTGGTCATAAGTGTATTCTGTCTTCTTACTCCTTTTTGGTGAGTCTCAGTTTAATGAGGAAGTTAATGGTGACAAAGGTTGGGAGATACCAATGCTTTAATTAGTTAAGTCACAATACTCTGTCCTACTCTTAAAAGGTCTTATTAGGAAAATAAGACATAATTTTACCTCTCATATACCTGTCAATATATTAACTTATTCAAACACTGACCTCTATGTCATATAATTGGGCTCTTAAAAGATTGAAAATGCCTGGGCTTCCTGATAGGAGTTTCTGCCTTTGTATCTGCCATCGCATTTCAAATAATTGGAACTGACAAAAAGATGTTAAAATACTAAGAGTTACCACAAATGTATTGAAACTGATAGCATGGATTGCCAAAGAGATACCAAGATAGAATATTAAATAATGCTTTTATGCAGATTATGATGTCTTTTTAGTTTTATGATTCTCTCTGTGTATTTGTGTGTGTGTGTATATGTGTGTGTGATTTTTTTAATCAGCTAAGCCACATCCTCAACCTCCACTTAAAAATGCTTAATTGTACATTGAATCTGTATGTATAAGGAAGCCACCCACATAAGTGTCTAAAGTCTAGGGCCCTTATGGGTACTAGTGAGAAATAACCCTTAGGCCACAAAGGGCCTTTTATAAGCTTTGCTCGTCCACCTCATGCTTTACCCCCCTTTTTTTTTAAGTGACTTGGAGATAAAGAGAAGCCTTTAATTATATGAAGGATATTAAGTATAGTGGTGGTGACATGAGATTCGTGTGGTAAAGAATCACTCTGGCAGCTTTGGGGAAGACAAATGGAGATAGAATGAAATAAAAGATGGGGATACACGTTGGGAGTCTATTACTATGCTAGGCAAGACACCATGGGCGGAGGCAGTGGCAGTTGGTATAGATGGTAGGGAGAGATCAGAATTAAGGGACAGAATCTGTAAGATGAAGTCACTGATCAGATGTGAGGACAAAGAAAAGTTAGAAGTTAAGTGCACATTGGTTCTTGCAAGCCTCTGATAAAGTATTAGTCTTCAGAGGGGGTTGAGTTTAAGTACCTTTATTTTTGCAGGAAAGAAAATGTACCTGTAAAAGAAGAGCACTAACATTTGATCAGATTTCAGACCCTTTTTACTCTTGGGAATGAAAATTTGAGCTTTTGATCATTGTTGCTTCTGCTTTCCAGATCTGACCCTATGTTGTTGTACAACCATTTTTTCCTAACGCTCCAGTATTAGTTCACAACTTACATTTAGTGAAGCTATTTGATTTTCTCTGTCTCTCATAACAAATGTACTGATAATGTTTAGGGCTAATTGTATGCAATTTAATTTTTGAATTGTGGTAATCATTATTGCTGTTTTTATTTTCATCTTCTCTTCCCTAGGCATCATCAGCTATAGATATTTAACCAAATTATGCCCTTTGGGGTGATTTTCAATTTTCTCACTTTGGAAAGCATATATATATTTTTGTCAGTCATGAAGGGTTCAGATTTGGATTATTAAACACTACTTTCCACGTTGGACCATTTAACACTTTACATTTCCTTGTCATTGGAAAACTTAACTTGTCCCTATGCTGTTTGGGTGTTTTGAAGGCCTCATCTAATTTAGGAAAGAATGACCTGTTCTCCAAACCCATATTCTACTTCCTGATGCACAGAAAGACCTGCCATACAGGAGATAAAACAGAAGTAGCTTCAGCATTCATGGATTGTTTATAGGAGCACCTCTGGGGTCTTTTCCTGAGCTCTGTGCCTGCAGGAGCATGTGCAAAAGTGTTTGACTTTCCTTGCTACAAGAAATAGTTAAACGTATATCTGATAGTCTGTGACCATAGCAGTATGTTTCCTTTAAAGTAAGTACATTACGTTGCCACAGATACTGTCACCACTAGGGCCCCTGGAGGGTCAGGCCTTGTTGATGTAATCAGTTTTGTTTTGTTTTCTTTCTTCTCTAGTAGCTATTATTCTGTAAATTGTGGAAACTGACTGGAGTACAGAATGTGAATTGATGTTCTTCTCTATTTTAACCCTCCAGAAATGCATCTTCTGCAGACACCGGGTTAAGAGGGTCTCTGGAGCCTGCATCCAGTGTTCCTATGGTCGCTGCCCGGCCTCCTTCCATGTCACTTGTGCCCATGCTGCTGGGGTACTGATGGAGCCTGATGATTGGCCTTATGTTGTGAACATCACATGCTTTCGACATAAGGTCAACCCCAATGTGGTAAGATGTGCTCTCCCTTCTTCAGTGCTAAGACTTTATCTGTATTTTCTCCTGTTTTAGAATACCTCCCAGACATAACATTCTTCTGTAATATTATACATTGTTTACCTGTCTAGATCGTGAGTTCCTTGAGGGCAGGGATTGCACACAATTATTTACTGGTAGTTGCCTAGGACCTGTCAATTGTCTGGTGCACATTATACACAATAAATCTGTATGAGCTAAATGAGTGAATGAACAAATGAATGCAGAAAACTCTTTATGCCTGTTCTGGTGTTGGATCTGTACACAGGGCTGCTGAATTTGGTTGCACATGTCATGCACTACACATATCCAGGGTGAGAGTGAAATCATTTCTGCAGGGGGATCACCACCTGAGATTATGTAGTGAACAGTCTATGAAACTGTACACTGTGGTCTTGGGGTGTTATTTATTTCTTTTAGAAGATACAGAGCAGCAGCACAGTCAAGGAAGAGGTAGGAAGGCCAGGAGCTTTTGGGACTCTGCTGCCTTAGGTGGGATATATGAGGGACAGCCTGGGGGCCCTGGAAGGAGTGAGGACAGTCTCATAGAAAAAAACAGAAAAGTAGAGGAAAAATACAGAGAACAATTTTTTTGAGCTTATTTTCTGAGAAAAGAGTGTTTGCAACTAAATAATGTGAATTTAGCCATACAGTAATTCTGTTGACCTGTCCTTGGCGAATGAAATCTTTCCTCTGTTTTAAATGCTTAAAAATATTATTAGAGTGTAGAGATAGTTGATATGTCTTTGTTACCTTTCCAGTTCACCATGATTGTTTTTGGCTACTAAATAGGAGGCTAAAGCATTGTCTAGATGCTCAGCTCTGCTAACTTGCTGCACTTTGTTTTCCCTGAGAGACTTGGCCACAGGCTATTAGCAGCCTAACGTGCTTGTCCTGTGTCCCTAATAACCTCTTGTGAGCAGCCTGCCAAGTCGTCAGCATTGGCTTGTGGAGTCATACACAACAAATCTCCCAGCTCTTTGTAATGCTTTCAGCAACTTCCATTGACATCTTGAGAGATATTTGATGTTTGTGGGCTGGGGCTCTGTGCACATGTGAGTGAATGCGCAAATGTACAAAATGATGTCACTGACTGTCACATCTGTTTTATTTGTCTTATTTTTCCATTGTTTTAGGTTCTGAGTTGCTTATTCATTCATGCCTTTTCCATAGTTTCTTGAGTTGATGTGCTTTTCCTAAGAATAGTAGTGTATCCAGTACAATAGTAGTGTATCCAGTATAATAGTATCCAGTAGAAAATATATTTTAGCAACTTTTAAAAATATATCGTAGTAACACATTACATGACTGTGGTGCCTTGCCCTTTACAGTGTGCAGTCAATAGCATTACCTCATTAGAGGATTTATATGAATGCATTTTGAAATGTGAACAAGGTGCTGACCTCTGAAGTCAGAGAAGTTGGTGTTCACACTTAGATTCTGCCAGTAACAGATTGTGCAACCCTGTGTAAGCTCTTATTTCTGAGCTTCAGCTTCCTCATCTATAAAGCATGGGATCCCACCTCACCATGTTGTTTTCAGTTCACAGCACAAAGTAAGCACTCAAAAAATGAAAGTTGTATTGCTACTACTGCTTCTACTACTGCTGCTGCTGCTGGTGCTACAATCTTATGTGAACTGGGCCACGTGAGTAGTGTTTTTCCTGTTTGGAGGATAAGAAACCCAAGTTAAGAGTGCTTTAATTCCTTGCCCGAATAGATGCAGATAATGAGTGGCAGGTGCTGGAATGTAAATGGCTGTTTAGCTTATACTCTATTATTTGGCAAATTCTAAATCCCAAACCTCACATGGTGCTAGAGGTATTCATCTGAAGCTTTGCTTGGGATCATACCTTACCATTTTAATATTCCAAAGCCCTGTGGATACTGATGATTATATTGAAGTTGCTATTAAAGAGATCCAGGTGTTTAATCAGGACCTCATTCCTCATAACTCTGATGTGTGGTTCAGTCAGGTTTAGGTCACTAATGTGTTTCTTAAATGATGCTGAAAAATAAAATATTTGACTTTGAGGTGATTTAGAAACAACTATCTTCTACAGATCCACTTTCAGCTTGGTATGCTTTGTAAAGACTGGGGAAAACATCGTATAATTTACGTGAGGCCGCCTTTCTCAATGAGGGAAAAATTTTCCTGTTCATAAATTGCCTTTGCCACGTCTTCTAGGGGGAAGCACTATTAACACCATATTTCTGAAGTATATTTCTAGTAGCTATTACTTATCCATTCTTCTCCCATTAGACTCCAAGTATGGAATCCTCCCCCAAAGTGTCTGGGAACTAACCAGAAGGAATTTATAGGATCTGGCAACTTTGGTTGAGAACCTTATGATTTGCCCCTATTGCTTTAAATGTTCTTTCCTTATCAAGCATAGAAAAGTTAAGATTCACTCAAATATTTCTCTTTGTATAAACTATGAATGCTAAGAGATATGCTTCTTAGAGCAGAAACTGTAGTTTGTCTGTGTTCTCAACCATGCCTTGATTATTTGAAAGTAATGGGCAATTGCTGAATCATAGCAGTGAAAACTGTAAAATAAAGTTCAGGCTAACTTGGCAGCCTGACCCAGTTGTGTTACAGAATGGTGGAGGATGCCTGTACAATTTAGGTGAAATGAAGTATAAACCTACTCTTGCTTGAATAGAATCTCCATTTTTACTCATTTTATGGTTTTTGATTCCCTTTTTTTTTTAATTTCTCCCAATTATTTGCTATAAAGCATCCAAAAGGAACATTTTAAGGAAAATTCTACTATTCCATTAGTGTCATACATTATTACTTTTTAATTAATTTATTTTTAAATAGGTCTCATTTTGTTGTTCAGGCTGGTCTCAATCTCTTGAGCTTAAGAGATCCTCCAGCTTCAGTCTCCCAAAGTGCCCGGAATATAGGCGTGATCTACTGTGCCCGGCCAATTATTTTAAATATATGAGCTTATTCATTATTATTGAGATTTGGGTGTAAAGTTATTTTGAGTAAGTGTATAAAATTCATCTGGTTTATTAATTCTCTATTCCACCAAGCAGTAAGCAGAGTTTATAATTAGAATAGGCAGTGTTTGAAAAGAATAGGGTAAAAATTCGTAAAGATGGAAAAGAACATGTCACAGGAAGTCCACAGCGGAGCCCTGTTATTTCAACCTAAATTTTCCCATGTGTTTCCCAGCATTTTTGTTAAACACCTTTTTTGAATGTCACTGCTCTTTCAGATATAAGGTCTCCTTCATGTGTGCACATGAGGGTGTGCTCATCTGTTGGTGTGTGTCGTCATGCTGTGCACTTTACCACCCTTTGCCGTGATTCATTATAACCTATGTTCTGGCTATATTTCCAAAGGTTCCATTTGGATATATTCCTAACCCAATTATCTGAGTGTTGCACAGATGTTTGTAAGGAAAAGACAATACAATAAATAGTAGTTATGAAACTAGAAGCCTTGGAAACATATTTTTTTTCGTCAAAGCAAATAGTCAACTACCTATAAACCATATACTGCTGCAAAATACAGCACCACACTGACCATCTCACACTTAAGTAAACTAGACAGATGCCCATGAAAGGGATGGTTGAATGACGGCGGTGAGAAGAAGGCATGCAATGTGTTTTCCTGGCAAGTTACTTAGTAAACCTTCATATTAGGTTAGAGTAATTTGCATGTTTAGTATGGCAGCACCAGAATCACTTGTACTTTGTTAATTCACTGCAATGAGCATGGCCTGTTTATACATCTTATATGAGGTACATAGTATTTTTTCTTAATATTCTTTCCTCTAGAATAGTATGACAGTTGTATTCATAGATTTAGAAACCTTAGAAGTTGTGGCTATTCACATGAAGACAGATACCTAAAAGAGAGAAAGAACTTTTACAGAAAAAAACACTATTGGTTAATTTATGTGATTTTGTATATTTTTCTTTTAGTATTATTGTAGCTAGGCCATAAGGACAGGAAATACTTGTTGTTGTTGTTGTCTTTTTATTTCTATCAACTAGCACTTGGCTATCCATAGGAGCAGCTTGGTATAAATTTGTTAAAATAATTATCTGATGCTAGGGAATAGGATTAGTGGAAAAGAATGAGAACTAGTGTTTATTGAGCATCTTTTATGTCAGGTGTGTGCTGGGTATTTCACATATGCACCAGCAGTATTTTTTTGTGTGCATAATGGAAAACAGGATGGGTAGAGTGACTTCTGTATTAGCACCTCCCATTTTAGAAAGTTGTCTAGGATCTTGTTATTCCACCATATGGCTCTCTTCCATGTGTCTTCCAACATTCATCTCAGTAAAACAACTGAGTCCTTGTTCAGCACTTAGTGAATGTTTTTGTTTGTTTGTTTGTTTGTTTGTTTGTTTGTTTTTTGAGACAGAGTCTTGCTCTATTGCCCAGGCTGAAGAGCAGTGGGGCAATCTCAACTCACTGCAACCGCCGCCTTCTGGGCTCAAGTAATCTTCCCACCTTGGCCTCCTGAGTAGCTGGGACTACAGGTGTGCACCACCATGTCTGGCTAATTTTTGTATTATTTGTAGAGACTGGTTTTCACCATGTCTGGCTAATTTTTGTATTATTTGTAGTGACTGGGTTTCACCATGTTGCCCAGGCTGATCTCGAACTTTTGGACTTGAGCGATCTAACCACCTTGGCTTCCCAAAGTGCTTGGATTACAGGCATGAGTAACCATACCTGAGGTGAATGATTTTTCCAGCCTCTGGGTCTCTAGGCCAGCTCCCAGGCCAGTTTTATTACAGCTCCTTCCTGTCATCATGGACAGGGGCTCAAGACAGGAGAGGACACCACAGTACACAGGATCTGGCGAACAGCTCAAAGCAAGAAGTCTCTGTGGGTTAACCTGTAACTATATAACTAATCTTGGGGTGATGATGGAGTGGGCTATCTCTCATTGGTAGCAACAGTGAAACATTCTAGGCCTCAACAATGTGGAAAGATGAATGTTTGAGGCTCCCAAATTCTATTACTGAGAATAATAGTTTTTATCCTATATTGTGTAGCATATTATGCTTTCAGTGTCTGTTATTGAGAAAATACTTAATGAAAAGAAATAAGAATAAATTACATTCTTAATTCTTAAATTAAAAATAAAATCACACTTAATTCTTAATAATAAAATAACCTCACACTTTTATATGAATTTATTAATTATAAAAGGGCAGGCAGTGTTTCAGGTTGATTATGGATTGAAAGGGAGAGACCCCAAAACGCTCATTCCCACTCTTTTTCCACTATAGTGGATTTCCACTATGGCCATGTCCTGGGATGAGGGGAAGGGTCTTGATTATGGGGACACTTTGGAGGTGGAATTATAGGCCTTGGTAAATCAGATATAGTTGGGAAGTGAGAAAGAAGACCCCAAGGGACAACCAGTTAATTTAGAACTGATTATGAGGAAGAATTTAGCCCATTATCGCTTTTGGTGGCCATCTAAATGCCACTGAGCTTGCCCTCGCCCCAACAGGGCTGATACATCAAATGTAGTTATGGATTGAATCTATCATTTCTATTTCCTTTTTATTTTCCTTCACTTAGTCTGGAGCTCACTTCCATGGCTTGATGCTGTCTTCTTTTAGTTTCTGCTTTCTCCTTTTCATAAAGAGAACCAGAATTTAGCTAACACTCATTTCACAGTGACCTGAATGGTGTCATTTTCACAAACCTTCATCTCAGTCTCTAAGATCCTGGGTGCGTTTGTGTTTTGCTGATGATGGAATTGCTTTTCCTTTAATAATTTGGATATTGCTAAAATTCTGTTTAACAAAGTTTGTTTTGACAAGCTATACTCTTTTGTTCTCAGACTTGTACATAATCATCTAGTATTTGTATATGGTTTGTTTCTTCTACATACATTTTTTAACAAATGGCCTGCTGAATTTGCAGTTATCGACAAAGAGAGATTTCTGACCAAAGCAAAGGTATGGAGTAAAGATTTCTTAGCAAGGATTTTAAAAAGTACTACAGCTATTCAGACCTGAATCTGAATCAAATATTCCTAAATCTCACACCCATTTTTAAAAAGAAATCCCTCAAATTTCTATCAATAGAAGGGTTTTCTTGAGCTCTCTGTCCATTTTTCCCAGATGATAGAAAGTTAAGGTTAGATTCGCCTGGGAGAGGAATATTTAGCACAGACCTTTTAGAAATTTACATTTGGAACCTACCTTTCTCTTATTCATATTATCAAGTAAAGCCAGTGCAGATAAAATTTTTCTTAATTTTGCTAGGAAATTTAAATGTATCCCATTAAACATTTTTGAACCCTGTTCAGTACCCCCAAATTTGTTTTCCCATTGCCGATCTTTAGCCATTTCCATAGGAAGGGCCGGGTCAGTGAGCGTCATGCTTCTCTCCTTGTGCTTTCTGTCAATAGAACAAGGGCTTCATGAGAGCTGCTGCAAACCCGCATGCCCACAACAGCCTCAGGATACTCTATGAAATAAGGCAGGAGAGCTTAACATGATTTGGTAAGATTACTTTACAAATGGCTGAACTCCAGGCTATTTGTCATACTAAGGAAAAATAATTTCTCGAGCATTTAATGAGCTCCTGTTACGTTGACGAATCTTGAAAATCTGGGAAATTAGCTTCAGAGGACTGTTACTTCTCAGAATTCT